TTTTATCTACAACTATTGAATTATCTATTCGTTATACAATTGATTTTTGACGGGTAATGACACTCATTACCCATGACAGACAAAGTGTTGAATAATGAGGCCATTATTCCACACTTCTGACACTGCCTACTAATCAAAAAATAAAATATTAACAGAAATGACAGCTTTCTTATATTGAGGTTATGTCTGAAATGTCTATCAAGTTTATTTTTTTTTCGTTTTTTTGATTTTTTTTTCAAAATTAAATAGTTGTAGATAAAGTATAGTATTCAACTTGCGTATAATGGATGTTACCCACTCAGATTACAACACTCGCTCGCTTCGCTCGCTCGTGTTGCAACTTCTTCTTCGTGGGTAACAGCCGCCATTATACGCTTGTTGAATAATATACTATTACCTGCCGCTAAATGCTGTCAATTTGAAAAAAATCTCGTAAAACAACACCGGGATTTGAACCCGGTACCTCCTACTTGAAAGCGCACTGCCTTTCCACCATACTACCGACCTCTCATACGTAGTGTAACTTTACCGAGGTATATTAACAAAACAAATCGTTTGTCAAATGTCATATAATATTGGTAAGAACCAATATCTTCATATCGTTAAATTTTGCAATTGGCGATAAAATGTTGTATGCAACACGTCAGCAAAGTGTCTTTATCGAACTCGCCTGTTTACTCGCCTCGCTCGCTCGACTCGCAAACTCAGACTCGTTCGATAAAGCATCACTTTGCTGACTTGGTACATAAATAACTATTATCGCCAACCGGCAGCAAAAACATACTTTATGCTATCCATTTGCGGCAGTAAAGTGACACTTTGTGCTACTATCTAGTAAACTGTGCATTTAGCGGCAGACAAAGTACTTTACCTGCCGCTAATTGCTGTCAATTTGAAAAAAATGCCGTTGAACAGCTGGATTTGAATCCGGTACCTTCTGTATGAAAGCGTCCCTCTCCACTATACTACCGACCTTTGATACATAGTGTAACTTTACCGAGGTATATTAACAAAACAAATCGTTTGACACATGTCATAATATTGGTAAGTTAGAATATCTTCATATCGTTAAATTTTGCGGTTGGCGATAAAATGTTGTATGCAACACGTCAGGAAAGTGTCTTTATCGAACTCGCCTGTTTACTCGCCTCGCTCGCTTCGCTCGCTCGACTCGCAAACTCAGACTCGTTCGATAAAGCATCACTTTGCCGACTTGGTACATAAATAACTATTTGTTTACTCTAATTTTTCCAACGGGTACAACAAAAAAGATTATAAAAATATGAAGTAATGCTTTTTGCGAATTAAAATAATTTATAAAATTATCTATTTATTTAAATAATTAAAACTGCCGCCAAAAATTTCACATCGAGGGGAATAACTCAACACGCGGCAACAAAAAGAGATAATGGAATTGCATATCTATCTTTACTTCTTTATCTATGATTTTGACATGGAACCTTATATCGTCCATTATATTTGTGTTCATTTTAAGCCGATTTTGTTTACGCTGGTGTCTCTCGGAACGGAACCCAACCCTGACGTAAAACGACGTTTACCTGTACTTTTATTTTCATACTCATATTCTAAGAACTGGATTTTATACGAATTTTTAAAACTTAATCGGCGAAAATTGTAAAATTCTGCTTCGATTGCGATCAGTTGATAATAAGCAGGTTGTAAAAATGGGAAAAGTCCAGAGCGAACTCTGGAGTGAGACTGTTCATAACCACAGATTACATCACACCAACTTTCTTAAAGAAACCACCCTTTGGCATTGAGACAACACCCCAAAGCAAGTTTAGCACATGTAAAACGCTGATCATCCACACTGATGAAACAACCCTGAAATTTTATCCGCAACTTCTTGGAGTCTTGCTCAATCACCTGACAACCAAGGCAACAAAGATTTGATGAGATGATAATGGAAAATGATTATAGAAAATGATATAGAGAATTAATTTGGTTTTAACTTACCTCACAATATTTTGCTCCGTAAGCTGGTTGGGGGGAATCACAAAATCTATATCTACTTTTCGTCCCACCTATACACGTACTAGAACAAGGCGTCCACTGCGTCCAAGGACCCCAACCGCCGTTTTCCGACTCTAAAATAAAAATAAAAAACAAACTAAGGGTATAAAGAGGCTTCATAACGAGACGAGAACAAAAAAAGAGGGTTGGGTTTAATTGGGATATAGAGAAATACGATAGGAGGGTATGAAGAGGGCGATTCTTTTTTATTTAAGGGTTATTTCATCGGAAATATGAGGAGCAAAGACGTTCCAATACTGCTGCATAAATTACAGGGGCAATTCTCACCACCACGTTCGGAAAATATTTCCGCACAGAACAAAGGATGGTTTGGATAGGAGCCAGATAATACTGACCTTATTGGAAATTGGGGGAGTAGTTTTAGCCCAGCACCTTAAATCGATTGTAGACGAAAATAAAATAGAAAGAATTGACAAATTTATGCTTAATTTTTTTCAGTCACGCTATTTCAGTTTAAATCTCAAAAGTACCACTTAATAATTTGTTTTAAATTGAATGATTACCTCTAACAGGAAGTGTAGGCACACAATCAATCCTAACGTCAGCAACAGCTCCAGTAATCGCCTGGCTAACATATACGAAGCAGTATTCAACGTAACGTTCCGAAAAGAGTTCACAACTGAAATGAAGACTGTGCTGACCTCTGACGACACGCTGTTCCGCTACATATTTTAACTGTGTAGGTGGTAGTAGCGACGCAACGTCCGCCCTCTGTTTGGCGAAGACACGAACTTTGTCACCCGAGTTTAATATACAGGAAGGGTACTCGAATAACACTTTTATTCCTTGAGAGTGAAGTCCACACGGAAATATACTCGAAGCGTGCACGTTAAACACAAATTGTTTACTCCATTCAGCCTACAAAAATAAAATTAAATCCCTAAAATAGAGAAATTATTGATTTTTTACTTTAACGTAAGTTGCAGTTCTTGGTATAGATGGTGTCGATATCGTCGGTCGCAAAGTTAACGAGTAATGCCCAGCCAATCCGAATAATTCACAACGTAACGTTAAAATTCTTCTTCCGGGGAATCCCCGAATCTGTTCTGAATATAATACCTAAAAGATTAGATGTTTAATTTAAATTAAAATCAAAATGGGTAATTTTTTACCTGTGCACTTTTATTCCAAGCTGGGTCATCACACATTAAAATGGAATGTCCGCAATAATGAAGTTCCAACCAAAACTCCGGTATAGCACTCGGTGGTGTATCAATAATCGGAGGGCAAACAACCTCAGGAAATTCCAAAATTGCCGTAACAGGTTCTTCTGGATATGTTTGGATATGTTCCGGTGTTAATAATAATTGAGGCATAGGCCATCGAACGTCTAAACTTCTTGTAATCATCTCTTCGCGATCGTTTCCATTTTTATTTTCGCCGATCGGTTTCTTTTTAAGCAAAATATAATATTGACCACCTTTCGAAAAATATCCGCAAGGTATCTTAACGATGGTTAAGTTCCTGGATAATGACCGAGCTTCCGGAAGTACCGGGAAAGTCGTTAGCGTTTGTACGGAGTTGTTCTGATCCAATCTGGACAGCTGTAATAGAAGGGGCGGGAACAAAGAGGATCTGATCTGTACGTGGAAATCCCCGCTGAGAGCTGTGTGAGATGGCGCCATTAAGAGGTCCAAACCCTGAATTGTTCCGTCTGTAACAAAACAAATCTCATCAAATTCAATGAAATCAAAGTTTTCGCACTACAAATAGTTTTGCATGGTTTAGTCCAAACACGCCTGTTGAATAACTCGGGTTAAAAATGCGAAGGTACTCGACTAAGAGAGTCTTGAAACTTTCTAATTAGAGCAATCTTTTCTCTCTCGGGAAATGTATATTCCCGAAAATTCGATAATCGAGGATTTATTAAACCGGTAAAATTGGATTTTAGGAATTTTGATTTGAGAAAATTACTTCAATAAGTTGAAAATTGGAAAAGTACATAAATTTAAACGACTTAAAAGTTACTAACTACTTCCGGTTTAAAATGTCAACCTCAATTTTGACATATTTGTAATCTCCATTAAAAATCCTTTAAAATGAGTACAAACACGACATATTTATCTTCAATATTAATGAAGTTATGGTCAACTTCCGGTTAAGAATGTCAACGTCAATTTTGACATATTTATAATCGTCGTGAAAAATCCTTTAAAATGAGTCCAAACATGATACGGTTAATTCCAATATTACTCGAGATATAAGCAACTTCCGGTTTGAAATGTCAATGTCGTTATGGAATATCTTAATTTTTATAAAACGTGTTAAAATTTGTCACAAAAACAAAAATATAATAAAAAAAAATTA